CGTACTTGGCTTTTGTTTCATACTTGGTCGCATCTCCTAGTTGCTGCGAATTACTTTCCACTGTAGGTCCACTTAACAATCGGATGAACTGACAGGTTTTTGTCTCTCTATCAGTTTAATGCTACCCTTTAAATCCGTCACAGTCCCGGTATTTGTCTCTGATAATATCAGCGACGATGTCTCTCGGCAGCATAGTAGCTCGCGCGGTCTTCGAAATGGACGCCTTAGAGCTACGCCCCGGGCGCCGGCTGAAGTACACGTAGACGTTGTAAACTAGCTGCCTGGTGTCGGCCGGCAGCTCGACCCTTGAGTCTTCCACTGTCTCCATTCTGCCGTTGTACAGTCTCCTCCAACTGAACATCGTCCAAGCGGTCATCGCTTCGTCCCCGTATTGCGCCGTTTTGAATTTTTAATTTTGGAACAGTTTTGATAAACTTTTTATTGACCGTGCCGGTCGTTCTTTCGGGCCAGTAATTTAGCTTTCAATTTTTTTTAACTCTGTAATAAATTAATTCTAAATTTGTCAAGAAATACCACAGAGATATCTGGTCCCGAGAAAAGGTACACTTTAACTGGAGTTCGAGGAACGTCGACTACGTTTATCAAGCAATCTGATCACACACCTCTAACATCCGCTGTGCTCCAAACTTAATCACAATGCTAGGCACATCGGTACAACACGCCGACCGAACTATGAACAAATTAGTTATTCCTGGTGCTACTCGTACCTCTAATAACATTCGAGCCAGGGATAGTATGATGGCCGTTATAAAAATGAACTAGACAGGGTGCGTCGCCTTATTGGTACTAACATCACCGTTGTTTTTATGATTTACCAACTGGCTATATTCGTTTCGCGTACAGCTCACTCGTTTAATATACAGTCTGATATTGACCCGATTGACTTTATTGAAGTGTCCAATTTATATTTATTTTGATCCCAATAACCAGACGTCGCGGCGGGTCGTCGGCGTCAGGACGCGCTTTCATTGCGCATTTGATGAATGTACTGTCAAAATAATAAAGTTTATTTTTACGCATTTTCTGTCAGATAAACAAAATTTTATCGATAGTCTGGCATGTTTTTAGAATACTATATCGTACGTTAAAACGCAACGGCCATACTTTGGTATATTTAAGACATTAGAAGATCAAAAACAAGTTTAAAAAACTTTGTTAAACAAGTCGGCGCTGGTTGCCTGACGACACTTAATTTACGTAAACTAAATTGAAAGCCAGTGCCCTGTACCCACGGCGTCTGTGTGTGTAATGAGAATTACGATACTTAATGTATAATTACAACCGGCCTTGTGAAAATAATGGAAAAATACAGACAAACATTTCTAGACCAACGAAATTAAATGTCTGAACAAATTTATTATTATTTTATTAACGTATTCTTACGTTTTATGTTTGTTTAAAATTTTACTTGCAATTTGATTGAGTTTTAAAATTGTTTGCAATTTAAAATATTCTAGAGGCTTAAGGATTTAATCCTGGACGATACATCTCGATCAATATAACCCCGTTTTTAATCATTTTGGTCTCAAAGATCTGAAATTAAAACTTAATATTAAATCCGAATTTTCAATACATAATATGTGAGCAGTTTTTGTATTATTTGTCAAATGAAATATTTATGTATTAAGAAAGTTATGTGCCTTACCGTGGATTTCTGAGACTAAAATCTCCGTTTAAAACATATTGATATCTTTTTTTCGTCTCAAGAACCAATAGTCAATCGTTATTACTCCGGATTTGAAACCTTTACATTTCGTAACCTCATTCTTTGAAGATGTATATAATTAATTAGATTTGAAACAATGTACATTTGAAATTCAATTCTCTTGTCCTTAATGGACATTTTATACCGAATTAGAAATTCTGTTTTAGACGATTTTGTTCGTTGTGTATTTAGGTGTCGAAGGTATGGATTTTATTTCTATTCTCTATTGTAATACAGTATAGGGGAGCGACAGTCTTGTATGCTTCTTCAAATATGTTCCGATAAAAAGAAGATTTATTTAAACGACAAATTTGTTAGTGAAAATTATTTTTTATAAATTTTTACGAACGCGTGGCTTGCACATGTCAGCTACATATTCCAAACACATCCTCCTGTCGTTTATTATTTACTCAGTATTTGTAAGACTACCATGTCGATTTCAATGCAACGTTCTAGCTTTATTACGCGACTTAAAAATAGATTGTACGTAGAAGATTATACATATACAGTTGTCTACCAGCTTGCCTTTTCTATGACGAAACTTTAGCACCTGTCCGTCATTCTTAATATTTTGCTGTACTCACAATAGTCTACGCCTTTTATGAATTGCCCTTCTAGATAATTTGGGAAAATATTGTTATGCGAAATTTTAAAAAGTTATGGAGCAAAAGCTTAAAACAAGAACAAATATTGTTGAAAAAGCTATGGTTGCTTATTATAATCATTATTCTTAATGGCTTCAGCTTCATTTTCAAAAGATAGAAGAAGCATCAGAGTAATTGCTTGGAACATATCGTTTTCAGTGTTCTAAAAACCATAAACAAGTGCTACCGATTCAGCGATACATAACGGTGGTTTCTTTGAATAGAATTGTTCGTTTAGCGGAAACGTTGCATAAGGCACAATAGAGAGTGCAGAGGTACAGTACTATTCAAACTTTATGGCAGCTCGCAAGTTCGCACGAGACGCTGCGCACAACTCAATTTAAGGTATCGATGGTGGAGTAAATGGTGTTTCGGTAACAGAGATCTAGGCACTGCCCGTAGGCAAGGATTTCAAATGTTGCAAACGATTATTTTTAATGGACTGGGGAGGAGACGTACACAATATTTCCATTCCTTGTAAAACGCGTGGGAATGGCCTCCTGTACATGGGGACGGGAACATTTCTACGTGAGCTTACCTTCCACAGCGCTGGCCGGCTGTGTGAAGTGGGCTCAGGTAACATGCGCACAATCTAACGAGCTCGCATAAAGTTTGAATCTCATAATAGATGATGGATGGTAGCAGGCGGCAGTGTCACGGTGGCTGGATGTGTCGTGCACCGTGAAAGTGTCACTGTCCTCTTTCGACTGTGGCGCTTTGTTTGAACTTAGATTAACTGTCACCGGACCGGTAATGAAAGCTCAAATATTCAATTCAATATTGTGCGAAAGTTGAAGGTTAAATAGAACCACCTACTCTTTACTCACTCATATTTTTAAGTAAGTAATTTTATATACAAAGCTTGGCCGTAAAATTGTAAGTCAAATAATTAACTCAGCTATCAACAAATCTGTTTAGTGTGCAACATAATATAAAATGACCTAATTTGCAATTTGCTTAGTTTGTATGTAATTGCAAAGTTTGTGTACATTGTATGCGACCAACACTGATTGAACGAGTGGATGTTTATACAACTGACGACCCACGTCTTGTTTATTTTGTGATGTTAGCACGAATGCGATTTGTAACTGTAATATTATTATTAATAGAGGTTAAATTATGAAATTGCAGAATTTGCAATATAATGTTATTGTGAAGTGTACGGATCTGCTTTCAACATTACCTTGGCGGTAATTAAATTCAATAGCTGTTTTTCTTCGTGGTTCCTCTTTAAGCAAGTTACCTGCTATATATTCTTTTCGCGGCCACATTTAATTCTGGTCGTGTTGTTAGCAATTATAGATAAGTAGAGGTGGTCGCGTTATGTGGCATCATGTCGCCTTAGCAGCGTCGGCGTCGGTTGCAGGAATTCGTGCTCGTATCGTATCTCAGGTGACTCAGAGCGTGACTCAATAAGGAATTGAAAAAGAGCACAACGAATTATGTGTAACTAACCTCTGACGCCTACATTTCAATTTCCTCAATGACTGTCCCAATCAAAAAATTTCACAATTCATCAGCATCGGCTCACTATCCATCTCCACTGAGAGACTCGGAGCTTATCCTAAGTTAGGAGTGATGAGGCCATAGTCAACCATGTTGGCCCTGTGCGGGTCAGTTGACTACACACATATTCTAACTTTGAATTCCTTTAAGAAACTTAGAAAGTAAAGACGATACTAAAATATGCTATAATAAACCTGTCAAAGTTAACGGAGTTCTGCACATTACTAGGAAGCCAAAATGTGCTCATAATAAGGCTTACTCTGCAATCCATATTCTACTTGATATCTATAATAAACAACACCGTAAATGCAATCAGATTACCTCAAAGTTTAAAACACATCAAGTAATGATTATTAATATTTTCGAAAATGATGTATTTGGATTTTGTACCTTGGATTCTTTTTTAAATCCGCATTCTATTTCTATCTTACTGCACGACGAGCGTAAATGTTTATATTTTTATCCTAACTTTAATGTGCCAGTCCTAAATATGTGGTCGCGTTGCATATGGATTAACCAGAAATAGCACATTCTCATCTGTATCGTGGACGACATATGTTCGGATGCCAAAGCCTCTGGCCGCCACCTGCGTCCTTCCCGCTCGCACGCGCCGCGCCAGCTGTTGCCCAACGTGTTTGCTCTGCGTTTGGCAGCACTTAGCTTTAAAATTACTACCATTACTACGATCTTCGCTTCAAAGCTCATGAAAGTTTTGTTAGTGTCAATCATTATTTGTGATTTATCGCTTTCTTATTCTACTTCCGTTGATTAGATGAATTCAGTAACATGAGTAATCCTCTATCAGGCAATTTATTACATTTTATTTAATTTCCACCTTATTGTAATAGAAGGACAACATTGGATACTACCTTTTTATTGATTAAAGTATTTGAGAAAAATCCGGTAGCCAACTTTTGAGTTCTTTGACAGCGTAGAGCCTGGGCCTTGAATTTTTTTTGTATAATAGACGATTCAACATCGGAATCAAATTAAAAGCTTCGTAACTCGTATGATGATCTCACCGGTCGTCAATCTTGACAATGCAAGGGACCGGTCGTTGAGGGGCTCACGGTGAGGTGCGGGGCGCACTACGCTCCGCACCCGGGTTCGCGCGGTCCTCGCACGCCGCATTCAGTACGACAGCGAGGCTCGCCACGAGCGCGGCGCGCGCGCCTTTACTTGTTCGTTTTTTTTTTAAATATTTCTGCAGTTTTACCTTCCACCCAATATGCAGTTTAGTGCAGTTAGTGTTTTAAAATAAATATTACATTAATTACCCAAAAGTATATAGTTCTGTGATCGTTACTCGCTACGGTCCAAAGAACAATGCTGTGGGAAAAAATAACGTTCAGCTGGCATCGGCGGTCGTTCCCAGCTACCTACCCGAGCCCGAGCTCCCTCCCCGCGCGCGCCGGGTGCCGGGTTCAATGCGCCTCTCCGCGTTTATTCATCGTTTGTGGGAAAAGTTGACCCCCCATTTAAAAATTATTGTTAACGAATTCACACGAACCGTATGTGCTAGTACCGCATCTTGGACGATCTTCGAAAGTTTTGCGCGTGAGATTAATTCGTAATACGTATCGCCTATCCTACTTTATCGCAACCGTTTCTTTTTCACGTGAGCAAAACACGAGACTGGCAACTTCAGATGTAATCAAATAGATAAAAGATAAAAAAGTGTGAGTTTTTTTGTATTATGCGCAAGTTTTCAAGGTAGTGGCGCCAGCAAGAGGAACTGTATTGTTTATTTTGAGCTTTGCCATGTTTGTGGAGTTTAATCTTCGTCGAAATTATTATCTTGTTGTGTTAAGGATAGAGTGTTTTTGTCGCAAGAGGACACGGCTGTAGACGTTACGTTAGTTGTGTGTTGAATAATCTGTGAAGTGACCGTTGAATTCGACAAATTCTGTGATGTGTTGTGATGTCTCACTTTAGTGGTTGAGTGGTCACTTGGAGTGACGTCACAGTTACAAATCAAGTTCTGCGAGCTGTAGCAAGATGGGGAACCAAGGCTCGTCGCCGCACGAGCCCCTGGACCGTGCGCAAGCGCAGAATGCCGACCTTAAAATGGTTCGAACCGTTAATTAAACTTGCTAATTTATAAGCGATTGTTGAGCACACGTTGAATCACAGCGTGTGCTGTGCGCTCATAGTCGATTGTTTTAACTGGCACATGGCCGCCTCTTCTAATGATATTGCTATTCTTTTATGTGTCTTTTATATTTTAATATGAATACGCACCTATGGTGCTCAGATTACAATGCTCCATCAGCAACCATTATAAATCTTAAGATGAAAGGCTCAATGGTAATGCGAACTATTTACATTCTAACAGGGTTCGAATCCCCTACAAAAAAATACTAAGTGACACTAAGCATTTTCAATCATAGAACCCGAAAATTCAGTCAACATTATTTAGTAGGAAGGTATTAAGTTTTATATCTGGAAATTTAATTAAATTACGATTAAAATTACGATTTCTATAAAAAATATGGTTTTCAGTAATTTTAATACTTCTTATAAAAGCACATTAATTAAGCAAGAATAAATCGTCACCTTAAGTAAATAATGAATGGAATAGACATTGTTTTTGTGTTAATTACGTTGCATAGAGGCCATCAGTTACAATAAAGGAAATTACAACAATCTTATAAAGTACTCACTAAAGCATTTAATTTACGTTTGTCTGTGTGATTGTAAGAAAAAACAAACTAACGCCTTTATTTCGACATAAATATAAACGACGTTCATCATATCTCATCCATGGAATTAAACATTCATTATATACAATAATGAATAGAAAAACAGATAAGGTATAGAAGATGCCACATCTTATTGTTGGTTTCTGCGACCAAAATCCCTGACTGAAACATATTGTTATCTCTGTCCTGTCAAATATACAGAGAGGGATGACGATATGTTTAAGACAAAGATTTTGGTCTCACAAACCAACGATAATTTTAAATCAACCTCAAACTGTCACACACACACACACACACACCGGTTAAGGGAGTTGCTTTACCTCGCTTTAATATGGGAAATCTACATTAAGGCTGCCAGTCCACCAGAGCGGAGCGAGGCAGCGGAGCCGAGAAACGGAGAAATATTAACCAATAGGATTGCACAAAATCTCCGCTCCTCTTAAGTGGACAGGGACTTGCGAGCTAGTTTAAAATTTCATATAAAACCGGTAAGCGGAGCGGGGAAACGGAGCGGGGAAACGTGCGGGGATGCGGAGCGGGGAAGCGAGTGCGGGCGCGGGCGCATAATAATGTATCAACTTTTTCGATGGCATGTCTGCTATCACTGACATTTCGCGTAGAACTAAACCAATCGCCCCACGCCGGGAGCTCGAAATCACTCGTCGCGTACTTGCTGCCTAGCTCCGCATATTGAAAAACACAGCAACTCCGCTCCGCATTACTTCCTCACTCCGCTCCGCAGCCTCGCTCCGCTCCGGTGGACAGTCACAGTACGCAACTCCACTCCGCATTAGTCCGTTTCTCGGCTCCGCTGCCTCGCTCCGCTCTGGTGGACTGGCAGCCTAAGGGTCTATGGTACCATTACACAATACATCTCTGTGACAGTCATATGGCGCACGTAATCCTCACTGAAGAGTAAATTAAGGCCAATCCAACACTTCTAGAGCACTCTTCAACTACTGATACTATTGAGCCAAAAATTGTCCTCCTAACCGTCCCTAAAATTTGAACCCAACCCTCATGCGGTTACCTCTTCAACTAAAACGCATTAAATAGATTATATCATCTATTCTTTTCAGTTGCTAATAGGGGTTATTAAAAAGTATGTGAACGAACTCATCCACTTAACATCTGTGTTGATTTAAAATGTGTTTACAATACTATAAAAAAATATATCTGTGCAAATATTATCAAATGACATAATTGAGCATATGGCAGTATGACGAGTTCCCACCCCACTCATATTTTAAGCACATTAAAAATGATTGTATTTTAAATCTAGTCGATTTTGGTAGAAATATATGAACGACTAGATGTCGCGCGCGACTCCGTCCGCGCGTAACTAAAAACAATCATAATTATTAGCCTATGTGTTCTTCCAAACTATATTCTAAATCTATGCCAAGTTTTAGCGAGATACATTCATCCTTTTATATGGGAAAAAGAAAAGGGCTGTTTTTAGGGTTTTCCCAGCAATGATTCGAAATTTTCTCACCTTTCAAACCTTGCCTAGACCTCCACGAACATTTCAATACCCAGATAAGATAAATCCGTTCAGCCGTTCTCGAGTTTTAGCGAGACTAACAAACAGCAATTGATTTTTAGAACGAATAGTCTTATTCAAATTTATATACCTATCCTTCTATGTGGAGATTTATTACGTACGTATCATTTCAATGACTTACGTATTATACATAAATATTTAGTCATAAATTTATATTGAATATTAAAATATTTCGAGGAATGTAAAGTCAGACCTTCATGAATGTTATAGGTATCTTTATTCAAATCTGCTTTTGTATAAACAATTGTCTATCACAAGGTAGCTAACTGGTTATTTGTTGAGATTTATTATAAAACTGGCCCTAGCCCGCGACTTATTTCGCGCTGAATTAAAAAAAAATAACTTAATAAGTAGATTATGTTTACTTCCAGACTATGTTCTACATGTGTGCCAAATTTCATCAAATCCCTTGAGCTGTTCCGGAGATACCGTCAAATCCGTCCATCCATCCAAACTTTCGCATTTATAATATTAGTAAGATAAGATATTTAAAGGATATTATTTTATACATGCTAACTACAAACGCCTAATTCAAAATATTAAAGTATATGTAATGCGTGTCTAAAATTGGCTTCCTTACAAAACACTAGTAATTATTGTTAAGAGAAGCCATTCAAAGGAAAGGCCAGATAGCGTTAAACTTAAGACCCTTCCCTTCCCTTGTAATGGTATAGAATGGTATCGTATTAAGCAGTAAGGAAATACCGCGGTGCGCAATCATAAAATTGAATCAATATTCGAATTTATTTTTTAGGTTATTTATCACGGTACTGCAAGCATTATCGCTATATATCTTATCAAAATATTTCATATCCGTTGCCGTGTCGGTCGGTATGATTTAAAATAATATTAATATTAGTAATATTGATAAATTTTATAAACACCTCAATGGCTCGGGTTTGTTTTCGTAGACAGACGTGTTGGTTACGGTGACTAAATTAAATTTCGTTTAGTTAACGCAATTTCTAATTTGACTTTGACTAGTGCATTGAAAGAGTCATTTGTTCATAACTTGAAACTTGAGTAAACTAAGTTAAAACAACTGAAGATCTTCAGTTAGACTGAAAAATATTTTACAGTACTTATTTGGTATGTCTATTTTTATTTGTTAAAGTTGCTACGAAGCTGGTACTTCTTTTTTTTCTGCAGAAAGTCTGTTGAATACACTTTCTAGTTATTTTGCACAGTATATTTCTAGGTCAAACAGCCCTTTTTCTAGCATAATTTTAAATAAAGACTAGTAAAAATAAAACTTGTAATTTTTCTTACTTAACCTTGTTAGTTTTTGAGCTACTCAAATGATTTTTTTTTGTAATTTTTCTTTTTCTAATTGGATTTTACGGAAACTTTAAATATTATTAATAATATTGCAGTAAGGTTAATGTTGTTACGTATAAGATAACGTTATACAATACGTTGTGGTCACGATCACAAAATTAACTATTATTTCGACCCAAATATAAATTTGCGTAAAACATTGTGAAAATCAAGTTATTTTATTACATAAATCTAATACAGAGATTAGATTAGAGTTGAATACAGAGAGGAATTTACTATGTTGATTGACTAATAAGTAATTTTACACTTCATATTTAAGGCATTTTTTTTAGATTTCGAGATATTTTTGACAATTCAAGATCTGTGACCTCACATATGAAATGAAGCCATAATGCAAGTAATCAATGTATATTTTCTTAAATATACATTGATTTATTACTTATTTACAGAGTTCTTACTCTGGAATTCTGGACTACAAAGGGAGACTAACATAAACAAAACCCTTCTTCAAAACTAGGTTTACTAAGGTCTTCTAACCTGCAACTATTGCATTTACGTGTTTAAACCGCATGTAAATTACAAGAATAAACGACAAGAGATTGTAAACAATTGTGAAGGAAAACTTGTATGAAAACCAGTCGGAAACAAATGCGGTCCGGTAATGTTATAAATAACAGTGCTACCATTAAACATAATATGGAATTTACTGCAAATCGAGGAAAAACGTTTTAAAATGTTTAGTCGTTAAAAACATATTAGTTGAATGAATAAAAAACGCATAATTAGTAGTCTATTTTTTCTTCCAGAGTATGTTCTACATCTGTGCCAAATTTCAGCGAGATACCTACAGAGTGGTTATGGATATACGTTCAAACAAACATCCATCCATCTAAACATTCGCATTTAGAATATAACTAAGATGATGTTAGTAAGATTTTTAACTACTTATTTACAGTATGAGGTATTCGTTTTTAACTACATATAATCGGTGAAAAGGGTGTCATGTGAGAGAATTAAGCTATTTAAAATTATGACTTAATTATAAGTTCATCAATTAATTGCCAGAATTCTGTCTTTTACATTTTGCAACGGTAACCCTATTCGTGTTGTATTACGCAAATCTTAAGACATATTGAGTCTTATTTCATTGTAATAAGATTAAAATTCCTTTGAATTAAAAACCATTCAACATGACAGTATGCAAATAACATACAAACTGTCTGAATCGCAAATAGGACCCTTCGTGCTCATAATTTAATATGACCGACGACATTTCCTAGTTTTATTTATATAAGCGATTACAATTCTACACAACGAGCGAGCAAGGTTACATGTCCGTCTTCAACACTTTGTGGGAAATTCATTTACGTATTTCATTACATTTGGATTTGTAACAGATGTCTTGGAATATTTCCAGCTTTAAAATACATATATTGATAACATTGCCCAAGCCAAATTGATCTTCAGAGAATACGCAACGTATTGCGGTTATGAATAACCTATGAAGTTTACTTTGGGCTTCCACTGCCAACACAAGAAAGACCTTTGTCCCTATCAAAATCCACTGCCACTGTCCTATTTAAAAATTATTTTTAATTCCAATACACAATATACATAATAATAATGATTGGTGATGACTGACTCAGGGAGAGTAATTAGATTTTTTTTATTATATTAATATCACCCGAAATCGTATAAATATATACAGACGATATATGCGTACAGACATATTATAAGCAATAAGATAGGTTCCAGATGTCTTTAACACTTTTAATGCATACACATTCCTTGGGGTTATGACTCTGTAAATTAACTTTAATTTGTTTGTATGCGAGATATAATTTCAAAGTGGTATGTTCTGTGTATTACAGAAGTCGTCGGTGCGCGGTTCGCTGAGGCGGGCGCGCGCGGGCGCCGCGCTGTCGCCGCCGCGCGCCGGAATGGAGCGGCTGCGGCGGTCGTTCCGCGAGTCGTTCCGGCGGCGCAAGGGCAGCCCGCCGGAGTCAGCGCGCCCGCACCAGTGGCATGCAGACGAGGCAGCCGTACGCGCCGGTACTTGCACCTTCCCTGTCAAGTATCTCGGCTGCGTTGAGGTGTTCGAGTCACGTGGCATGCAGGTCTGCGAAGAGGCCATTAAAGTACTCAGAGTAAGTGCATACACGCCAATGTTCGGAAACGTGACACTATACTATTTTAGATGGTAGACTTTGTAACTACTACTAAGACTAATCAAACTTTGTACGACTTTGTACACATTCGACACAAAGGCCAAATGCTTTACTGTTAGGAAGAAAATCCGACACTGTGCCGGTGTACTGCCGCAACACTAACCTTACTAAAATGTCGACGTTTATGTCCCCTCACTTATCATTCTGACACTCGACTTGGTAACGAAGGCGCGCCATTCGCGCCAAAGGATTCTAACTAGTAACATCTAAAACTATACAGCAGAGAAATGAAGCCTTTACTTTAATTTTTTACACAAATCTACTAAATATCTATAATCTATAAAAGTTTACATGCTACATTTGTATACGAAAACTACGAATTACCTCGATTACCGAATTACCGAGTCCACGTGTATTTAGTTTTTGTTTAAACATCTGTATCGAAATATGTAAAAACTACGGATGCAGTCCGTGTCGGTGATGCCTTTAAAATCATATCCGGGAAGATGTGAACTCATGGCGACCGCAGTTATGAGAATTGTTTTTTTTATTTTTTGAGCGTGAGAGCAATTTGCAATACCGTACCCTAGGGTGCCGGCGAAATGCTGTAAGGTCATATTTTTTTTAATTTCTTTGTTCGCTGCGCCATTCTCGTTTCTCTATTGTTTCGATTTATTCGGCTTTCACCTGCTAACGGTCTGATTTAGCGGGATTTAATTGTCTATTGATAAGTAACTTCCGATCCAATTTGTGAAGTGTTTGGTTACTTAGTTCATATGCAAACGAAAGCAAATACGAATATAACTTTTTGTAGTAATATCTGAAAAGTTTGGATTTTTGGGTTCATAGCTTTTATTCTTTAGACACATTTATAAAGTAAATTTCCCTTGTCAATTTCCTTAAATAATTCTTCAACATTATTGAATTATGTAAATATAAGAAAATAAAGCATTAATCATTATTTTAATAATGTGAAAATTAACGTGACTAATTTAGAATAGCATATTAAAGTAAAAACAATGTTTTTTTAATGCGATATATTCGGTATATTAATGTGAATATTTTGCGGCCATTGTTATATTACGTAGGACTATAATAGTACTAAAACTACATTTGTACAAGACTTGCGAATTCCATTCGTGATAAATGGAGGAAGAGTGCCAAGTGTCGGCTGTCACGAAATGTCTCGGCCCAGTTTTACTTAAATTTAATACTTGTCTAAACTTGTTTAAGTATAACCCAAAGCTGCCATAAAAACTAGTTAAAAATTTAAATTTACAAATTTATAAAAATATACATTTTTCGTGCAACAATTTATATATGCTTTGCTCTTAGAATTTTACCCTAAGAATTAAGGTAAAGATTTTTTTAATTAATATAAATATCGATCTTTAAGTCATTATCTTATGATTAATTAGTTAATCAGATTAGAGGCAAGAGTATAAAGATTCGTCTAAATCGATCTGGCTAAATTGCGAAGGAAATTGTAAGTTTGTTTTTTGTATTTCAGAATTCTCGGCGGCGACCCATCCGCGCCGTTCTGCACGTGAGCGGCGATGGACTGCGCGTCGTCGAGGAGGAGACCAAGGGCCTCATTGTCGACCAGACCATAGAGAAGGTGTCTTTTTGTGCGCCCGACAGAAACCACGAAAGAGGATTCAGGTTAGCTATCCTTTTTTGAAAATACTATCATAATACGTCGCACATGAAAATTCACAAATCAACTATGTGTAATGATGCCCTTAAGGGAGAAAAAAATTTCGTCCTAAAAATAAATAAAAACGAAGAATCACAGTATTGTCAAAAAGTAAAATATGCCTAAAACTTTGTATGATTACCACAGTTTTTGTTGACATATTAACATAAAACATAGAGTTATTGCATTGCGATTATTCGTTTACATAAGCAAAATATTTGTGCAAATTCCTTCTTATCGATTTCAAGTGGGTTGGGTACAGTCGATGTCCCTGAGACTCCAACCTTCCTACGGCCTCATTCCGAACACTACGAGAAGTGTTTTAGGTTTGTTCGAATGTATATAACACTAAAATATCCCACGCTATCATTTATTTATACTATTGAAGATCAAAACTAAAACAACATATATAATGGCGTGTACTGTTTTTTTTTATAGTCATCATTAGTAGTTTTGAAAATAATTTCCGATATACAGCGTGTCCCAAAATTCAACGATAAAACGGTAATGGTATATAGCCAGATTGATAATTACACGGTGAAAATACAAAAAAAAATCCAACTGTTTTGGTTTAAAATTTACATTAACTGGTGTAATACACCATTGCCGTTTTACCGTTGAATTTTGGGACAAGCTGTAGATCTACTAATAAATTTATGTTTTATTTCTAAAGCCAATTATGTATTATTTTATGAAAATAGACAACTTTAATAATGCAACATAAAATTGTATAAGCTTACTTACATTTTTTTTATATTGTGTACGATCACCGTTTGTGGCCACTAAAAGCTGAACTAATAACTGGAACGACGTACACCGCAATTCTTTCCAACGAAAATAAACGTATCTCGTTGATTGCTCGTTGTTTCCTCGTAATGAAGTAATTGTACGGCTTAGAAATAACGCAGCGCCCTACTAGCTGTTGTGAAACTTCTGATTTATTGGAGTGTTGATACAAGCCAATGCTTCTAAGATGTAAAATTAGTTTGGTTACAACATCGTTAATTCGCAACACATGTTTGATGTATTCGAAGCACTGTGTTTTCGTAAATATTAGATTAAATTTGCTAACAAGGTTTAGAAAATCTTATAAATAAGTAATTAGCTTTTTTGTTTGATAGAGGAACGGGTTGCAAACAGAATAACCGTCATAGCCGGAATGTCAAATAGATGCAGTAAACAGTAAAGATAGAATTTATGTTCTTAAGATAAACAGAGAAAGCTTATTCAAATCACTCATTCACAAGTTTCTTTCATTTAAAATAATACAAATTTATAGCCAAGTGAAAATATATTAACATTGTAAGATTGTTTACATTAAAAGTTCTCGGTATCTGGTCGTGTCAAAACAAAGATGGCTTGCGTTGTGTAACTTGAGAACGACGGCGAATGGTTCGCGGAAGCCCTCTAATGTGGGAGTACCCGTTCAGATATAATGTTAATGCACTTTCTTATATAATAAACTATCGTGACTGTTAACCTTATACAGACAGTATGCTGAGTGGAATAATTGATTTATGGAACTTAACGCGCAGAGATATCTTGGAAATTGCATATTAATATGTATTTTAAAAAGTAAATAGCTTTCTATGCATTTAACAAAAACGAGTGGTCATTTAAGGATATTATTCCTAATCTCATCGGTATAATTTACACGTAACATGATGCTCCGCAGACATCACCTGCTTAGACGGCTTTAAGTTTATTCAACCTTGTCTAATCCGTAGATTAACAATCCAATATTCCATGTACCCTGCACTACTTGAATTACAAATTATTCTTTGGCCATTTAATTTAATGATAATACAATTTTTTCCCTGTTTTATATAAAACAATTTTATTGCGTTCATCAAAAATAAAATAAGAAATGAATTCGTCTAAAGTTTTCCTTACGAACTTTAGTCCTGTCTGTAACTAAATGTATATTTGGTTGGTTGCAGCTACATCTGCCGTGATGGCACGACGCGCCGCTGGATGTGCCACGGGTTCCTGGCTGCGCGCGACAGTGGCGAGCGGCTGTCGCACGCAGTGGGCTGCGCGTTTGCCGCCTGCCTCGAGCGCAAGCAGAGGCGCGACAAGGAGTGCGCCGTCTCCATGAGCATCGACGCCGCCAGCCACGCCTTCACCAGACAGGGCTCCTTCCGCAAATCCGGTCGGTAACAACCATAACTACACTATAGTTTTCTAAACAATCTAATCCGAGACTTAACCTAGTATGCTCAATTAAAAACACTTTTAGTTTATTTGATTTACTGCAGAATAGTCATAAAGTTGTCTTCAATTTACCGTTAACTTGTCTTTAGCACGAGGAATCTACACTGTCAAGTAATTTTTCAATTATAACACAAAATTTCCAAAAATTTAAATAAATGAAAAACTATATTTATTGTTTAAAATTGACAGGTATAACACGTCGCGCGTCAGAAGCGGATACGCCGTCAGTGACGCCAGGTGTGGGCGTTGGCGGGGGCGTGGTGAACGCGGGAGGCGGGGTGGTCGGTGCGGGCGCGCGGCCGCACAACCCGTTCGCAGTGGAGCGACCGCACGCCGCGCCGCATCTCCTCGAGCGACAAGGCTCCTTCCGTGGCTTCGCGCACCTCAACAACAGGTCAGATACGCATCTTTATATTTAGAACTTGATTACCTATTAAGTAGTTTACCTATAGCGAATTAGAACTTGGACGTGCGGACTAAAAAAAAAATTAAGCGTTATTTGTCTTATTTAAGCTATTGCAGGACCTTAACTTTCTTTGGCATAATGCTAAGAAAAGTTTTGTATGTTTTTCTGTACCTATAGAATTTACCAAGTTATAATATTAAATGTTCTTCGTTTCAGTTCTCCATTCAAGCGTCAGATGTCGCTGCGCATCAGCGAGCTGCCGTCGAACCTGGAGCGGCAGCGCATTGGGCTGGGCTCCCCGCCCTCCGTGCTGCCCGCCCCCAGCCCCGCGCCCGCGCCCGCCCTGCCCGCTCT